CCATCCATCATCATCCAAGCCATCCATCCATCCACATCCATCCATCCATCCATCCATCCATCCATCCATCCATCCATCCATCCATCCATCCATCCATCATCCATCCATCCATCCATCCATCCATCCATCCATCCATCCTCCATCATCCATCCATCCATCCATCCATCCATCCATCCATCCTCCATCCATCCATCCATCCATCCATCCATCCATCCATCCATCCATCCATCCATCCATCCATCCATCCATCCATCCATCCATCCATCCGCCCATCCATCCGTCCATCCATCCATCCATCCATCCAGATTTCAATCAACCAAAGGATCAAGCAGAATTTCATACAGGCTACTGAACAATCGACCACATGCATGCTATCAATCAGGTGATAGAAAATTGCTCAGAATGCACCCAAACACTATACACAGCCTTCATAAATTACGAGAAAGCATTTGCTTCAGTAGAGACATCAGCATTCATGCAGACACGGCGGAATTAGGGCGTTGACGAAGCATATATAAACATCCTCGAAGAAATCTACAGCGGATCAACTTCCACAAAGAAAGCGACGGAATACCAATAAAGGGGTGTGTATGATAAAGGGATACGATTTCCCCAGAGCTATTTACCGCGTGCTTACAGGAGATTTTCAGAGGCCCATAATGGGCAGAGTTGGGAGTACGAGTTAATGAAGCAATCATGCATACACTGTAACCTCATAGCCTGCGCTTTACCTGTGACATTGAAGGAGGAGGAGGAAGAAGAACAGGAAGTTTGCTGAGTAACTCAGGGGACGAATCGTAATTTATGATTACTAAATTATTGAATTGAGTTTATTGCGCAACAAGGTTGCGAGGAGGGCAGGCGAAAAAGCTGCACTGAGCAGCTTCAGGGGAGTCTGCCCACCTCACACACTGAGTGGTTACAGCAGTTCAAGGGATGCCCTATTCGTAATGCATAAAAAGAACAGCAAAAACAGTAAACAAACAGGGCAAGAAATAATGAAGAAGGGTATTGTGTAAACATTTAAAAACCAAGAGAAAAAATACCCTTAGTAATTATACCAAAAAAACCAAAAGGAAAACAACAGATGAACCTCTGGCAGCACAAGCAATCATACAAACATGTCACAAAGGCTTTTTAGCGACAAAGTGGATACACCTAGACCTCTTTCTTTGTGTAACCGATTTAAAATTGTTGGTAAACAAGGCTGTGGCATTTGGTCACCGTATAGAGTTCCGTTTTTTTTTTTTTTTTTGAAATCCAAGGTTCTATATGACGAAACTTATAAAAGCAATTATGTTACTGTAAGCATGCCAGTTCTACTAAAGGGTCAGCATTCTTAATTTTGCCCAGTCTATACATGAGACAAAGCCTAGCTGTGTACAAAGATTAAACATTTATGGTACTAAGCTTTGTGCACGAAGGATGTGGCACCCTGAAACAAGGCGTATGGCTCTTTTTTGTAGTACCACAAGTCGTTGAATATTTTCGGCTGTTGTAGTCCCTTAGACTAGAAATCTGTATTGAACCAAAGAAACACTGAATGATTAAATGAACTCTTATTAGTAGGTATAGTTTTATTTCAACTCTTATTAATATGTGTAGCCTTAAACATTGAACTCTTATTAATGGGTGTAGGAAGATAACTGCAATGACGGCGCACAGTAGCTATTGCTCTAGATAATTTACTGAGTGATTCACTTGGCAACCCTACGACATAGTTTGAGAAAAATATACACCAGGTGATTAAAAAGACGTAAGTATTTATATTTAGGTATTGTTTAATTTGACGAGCCTTTGTTGGAATTGTTTATTACGTGAATGAAACATTACTGCTTTTGTTTTCCCTACATTACTCTTAGGATAACTGCTAATGGCCCACTTGTGTATACTTTCAAGCGTATTTTTGGCTCGATTTGACATTTCTGAAGCTAAGCCATCCTCAAAAAAACGCTAAAAAGATACGTGTATCGTCTGTATAAATTATTCACTTTACCAATGGGTCAACATATACCATGTCATTGATGTATATTATGAAGAGGTACGGACCCAATATGCTCCCCAGCAGGACGCCTGTTACAGATTTTCATTCTGAGTGGTCCCCAGATATAGCTATGAGTTGGCATCTGTGGTGAAGGTATAGGATGTAATTATAAAACGAGCTACACCCCAGATACCATAGTGATCAAGTTTTTAAGCAAAACATTATGACTTATAAGATTGAAAGCCTTTGAAAAATCGAGAAAAATATCAAGCACCATTTTCTTTTCCTCACATTTTTCAATATAACCTCTTTTTTGATCATAGCGGAAAATTCAGTTGACCTATTTTAACAAAAACAGAATTGTGCAAGGCTTACGATATTAAAGTGGTCCGTGAACAAACAAACCGATCCAATATCACTTTCTCTAACACTTTCAAAAAGAAAACAAAGAAAACAGGCAGCACTGATACAGGGCGGTAATTTAAAAGATCATTCTTATCGCCTTTTTTTAATATTACTGTGACCTTTGCAGTCTGCATGGTTCAAGAGAAAACGCCTGTTGTCAAACAAAGGAGGGGGAGAAAAGTTTAAGTGGAAGGACAGGGAAGTTAGCCAGTTCTTAGACAGGCTGGCTACCCTGTGCTGAAGAAAGGGGTGAGGGGAAGAAAAGTTGGTAAAAAGAAATATTGCGACGAGAAAGAGAGAGAAAAATTACAAATAAAAATAGCGACAGAGGAAAGGCAACACCAAAGAGTATAAGACACAAAGTTTGTCTCTGAGGCCAGTTGTCCGCAAAAAGCAAACATTAATTATGTACTCTAGGCAAGATGCAGTTATCTCTATGAGAAGTTTTACCGGCGCTATTTGAATACCAAATGCATCAGTGGCTCCGCTGTTACTAATAAGAATGAAGAAACAGTAACTTCTTGCGTAGTAACTCCCCTCCCCCCTTAGGAACAGTAACTGACAATTAGGCTCATGTACGAGAGGTCAATGCCATCTTATGCCTGACAAAGGGACAAAAAAAAAAGTCATTAAACGCATTAGCAAGATCAACCTCTTTTGGTTCAATTCCTTCTTTAGCACTGTCGCAGTTCTTTCAAGCGCTGTCGCAGTTATCGAAGCGGGTGTCTTCCAAACTTTATCAGGGCGTCCTGCAGTTCAGTTGAACAGAATAAAATTATTGTGCTTCCTAGCATCCCTTAGATGTTTTGTGACGTAGTTCCTGTATTCTTTAATTGTTTTATTGCTTGTGGTGATTTAGTTTGTATAAATGAACGGTGCAACCTGTCCCTCTTGTTTACAAGCTTAAGCAGGTGCTTATCGATCAACGGTTTGCTAAATCTTTTTGTCTGTTTTAAAGGGTTCATCAGAAAACACACATTGTATATTTTCTTAAATAAACGCATAAACTTGTCATAAGCCGCATCTGCACTTTTTTCTTTGTACACATGATCCTATGTGACCCTGGCATTACGTTCTCAGAATGCAGATAAAGTGATGGCATTTATGAGCCGATAAGAGAGCGCTTTATGTACCTGTATATGCTTTTCAACTGCGGTAGCAATGAATATAAACACAGGTAAGTGTTCACTAATTTCGTAAACTAAAACACCAGGTTTTACAGAAGACATCAAAATTAGTTATGAACAAGTCTAATGCAGTTTCACACGCTGCCGTAACTCACGTTGGCAATGCTATAACATTCTGACAGAGATGAATATTTAAGAAAGATCGTAGGTCTGATTTCAGCTTATTCTGGGTGAGCATATTTATGGTCAGGTCACCTCGAAGAAGTATTTTATAACTGTTACTGTTAACGAATTCCAACATAGAATCTAAATGTGATAAAAACAGCAGGTAATTTCCCGATTGGAGCTCGTAACAAACACAAAATATAATATTGTTACATTTAACTACGACAGTGTCATAGTGTTGATTAGTACAACAGAATTCCGAAAGAAACTCAGGGTTAGATGAATTTGAAATCAGAATTGAAACACCTCCCCCACAACTATCTCGACGGTTCATGTAAAAAAGTCTGTAACCACGAAGGCTATACACATCATCTTCTGAAGCAAACCATGTGTCTGAAAACATGACAACACTAAATCGGCATTCCGTTGCACCGAAAAAGCAGCCTAGTTCATCTCTATTGTTTCAACCAGATCCTAAATTAAAATGTATACAACTCAAGCGATTCAAACCATGACTCTGCATGAGGGTATTAAGGACCGAGAAATTTGCTCTATCCATGAAAAACAACTCAGATAAGAATAAACGGTTTCGCATGCCACGCGAAGCGATAATCACTTGCATTTCTCTATTCTTTTACGTCACGCAGCAGTTTCTGATTTTGCAGGGTCACGTTTTCACAGATTGAAACATTAGAACTCATGTTACGTAAAGCTTTGCGCTTTTCGATTCATTCGTTTCACAGAGAGAGCTGTGGAAATCGGACGACAATTCCAAGTACTTTGCCATGCCGCGAAGGCAGCCTATGTACCGCCTCTACATCTGTAGCCACCACACCTGGCAAGTTCACCGAGTTTCCTTCTTCATTTAGCTTTGTGATGAGATTTCCGTTGCGGGTGACCGGTATTTCGTGCACATGAACGTTAAGCTTCCTTCTGTGCCTTCAAGGTCGTTTATAGATGCAGTTAGTTACTGAATTTCGCTTAGCTTCAAATTTTCTTCGAGCTTGGCTGCTTTCTTTTGTGAAGATAGTTAATTCTTTTTCCTGGGAAGCAGTATATCAACGTATTTTCAGACAGTAGTTGCATTGAGGCTTTACTTCGTTGACCTGCTGTGGCAAGCTAGTAAGCATGTGCAACTTTCGAGCTATCTCTGCCAAGACGACTGAAAGGTCGGTATTTATCACATGCGCCCTTCGCTATATTAGCTTTCGACGCTCTGCATAAAACACATCGCCACGTCCTACGCCCACTCTCGCCTTTATTATTGTATGTGACTCCACTTCAGCCAGAAAAATCGCCGAGATGGTAGCCGTACTCACATTCGGAGCGCTTGTCCATCTGCAGGAAGGGAGTCGTTACAGGACCGGCACTGCATCTTCATTCACCGACCAAGTCTACACGCAGTGCAAAAGAGTACGAAAACGCCAGAGCACTTGACACCAAAACAAATAACACGGCGGAGGCGGCGGCGCAAGGTACAGTGTAAGACAAGTCTTGTAAGTAATTACTTTGAGGTTACCAACCTGAAAAGGGAAGAATAAAGATGTAAGGGGGGCGTCCTTCCACAACCGCCGTCACTGCCCGTGTAAGCTGAATCAGCTTGACCATCACAAGCGCAGTCAGCACAGCCAAGGTGAAAAAAAAAACTGTTCGTGACGTCAGTGGGGGCAAGAATCTTTGAAGCCGGTACAGCACATTCGTGTTGCGTCCTGCAAAGGGCAGAATAAAAGTGTAAGGGGGGCGTCCTTCCACCACCGCTGTCACCGGCCTACCTTTCTGCTCTCGTAAGACAAGGAGAGCAGAAAGGTAGGTCTTAAAATTAATCTTCAAAAACAAAAGTAATATAGAACAACATAGGAAGAGAACAGCGCTCTGAGATAGGTAGCAGTGCATTTGAAATTGGAAATGAGTACATCTATTTAGGACAGGTAGATACCGTGGATTCTAACCATGAGATTGAAGTATCTAGAAGAATAAAAAATTGAGTGAAACACATTCGGTAAGAATTCTCAAATCACGACTTGTAGAGAGCCACTACTTCTCAAAAGGAAGGTATATAACTGCTGCATCTTAGCGGTACCTACCTACGGAGCATAAACCTGGAGGATTACAAAGAGGGATTAAATTTAAGTTGAGGAGGACACATGAAGCAAGCAATGCAAAGAAAAATGTTAAGTGTAACCCGAAGGGAAAAGGAGAGAGAAGCGCATAAGAAAAAGAAATGGTGATGTGTAGGACACACGTAGCACGAAGGCTTGATAATCGCTGGTCATTCAGGATCACATTCTGGATTACAAGCGAAGACAAGCGGGTCAGCGGGAGATTGAGACAAAGTTCGGTGAGCAGGTAAGATTAGGAAGTTCAGGAAGTGGCAGCAGCAAACGCAGGACTGAGCTGACTGGCGGAACATGGGGAGGCATTTGTCCTGTAGTGAGCATAGTCAGGCTGATCATGATGATGATTATGATGAAGATGATGATGTACTCCTATGATTCAACCAACACGTCGAGTTAATGTCCATTGTAGTTGGAGGCTATTCGCTGAATATGATTTACGCAGCAATTTTCGGAGCTACTATACTCGCGAGCACTAGCGCTTCATATCAGCTCGCCACTTCTAGTGTTGCTAATGCCCATGTTGGTGGTGGCATCGTTACGCAACTGTAAAAAACTGGTTATACAAAACATATGCGGATGTTGAACGTAAGTCTGTGAGTGTATTTGCACATATCTACAGCGCCACTTCGTAAGGTTCCGCTCAATAAAAAAAATATTACAACACAGGCACATTTCATCCGCTGCTTCGCATAACGTCGATTCCCAAGGTATCAGCTGATATTTTATTATATATTTTATTTGCATCTTTGTTGATTTTTAGGTCAACAGAAGACTATATTCATTCACTCAGTACCAATGACCCTACTCTGAAATTTGTTCAATTTGTTAAATTTGACCAAAATATTCGACATTGTTAGGATAGAGTTAAACGGCAGTCTTGTCTATTCGCTCAAACGCACAGTAAAACCAGCATTTCTTTCACAGATAAGCTGATATTATCTTTTTTTAGGGGCGAAGTTTCTTAGGCCGTGGATCGTTCCCTCTCCGTATGTAGTAGATCCTCCCCCGTTCCCTCCCCCGTTGCTCAATAGATGGTGTTATGTGTATATGTCTTCGGGAATAATATAACTATATGGTTTTAGTGGTTTTCACAGCATATCCACGGAGTGAATGACGATGAGTGGGGCGTAACGACCGTCCATCTATCCGTGTGTTCTATCGTCCATGCGTCCGTCCGTTCGCCCGTCCATCCATCCGTCTGCGCTTCCGTCCATCTGTCCATTCGTGCATGCTTCCGTCCTTTCATTCGTGCGTCCATCCATCTGTCTGTTTGTCGATCCGTGCTTTTCGTCATTCATGCGTCTGTCCATGAGTCCGTCCGCACGTCCGTGCGTCCATCTGTCCGAGCATGCTCCCGTCTGTCCATCCGTGCGTGTGTCCATTCGCCCGTGCTTCCGTACAGCCGTCCATTCGTGCGTCCGTCCGTTTGTCTGCTCATCCGTGCTTCTCTTCATCCATGCGTCCGTCTGTGCATCCGTCCGTGAGTCTGTCAGCGCATCCATGCTTCTGCCCATCCGTCCATACTTCCGTTCATCTTTTCGTTCTTGTTTCCAACCATCCATCCATCCATCCATGCATCCGTTCATGCGTCCGGCACCGTTCGCGATTTCATCCATCCATCCGTCCGTGCCTCTGTCCGTCCATTCATCCGAATGCATAGATGGATGAACACATGGACAGAGACACATACACACGGAGGGACTGATGGACGCCAGGGACGGACGGACAGATGGAAGCGAGAATGAACAAATTGATGGAAGCACGGATGGACGGACAGACGGACGCATGGACGAACGGACGTTGCGCCACACTTATCATCATTTACTCCTTGGATATGCTGTGATTTTTTCGTTTATTTGTTTTTTATCATTGAACATCGTTCAGTTTATCTAGTGAGTTTTAGACTACGAGTTTTTGACGGCTCACCCAGAGAGTGCATGTGCCTTATAGATTTAAGTCGCAAACAAACAAACAAATCAATGGCTGGCTACACCTGTCCTTCCTAAGTTATGCTAGTGTGCTATTATTGCGATGCACTTATATGGTTAGTATCGGCTTGTTTTTGCCATCGCCGCAGCCACCACCATCATTCACGCATATGTAAATGTATGATATGGACGTGATGGCGATGTCATGATGTGGTCTACAATCCCGATCATCTTTTTCGTACAGGTGCTGCTTCGATTTCTGCTAGTCCCAGCGGGGCTGCCACCGATCGACAAGGACCCAATAACGCCAGCCGTATGTTCTCGGCAACTCACCAAGAGAACCTGACGCCCGGGGTTCTTCATCAGCTAAACGTCGTTCCCGAACGAGCGAAGATGACGTAATCGACCCCCCAGGGGCGCTGACGGATGCATCTGTCAACGGGACTATGAAGCGGCTCTTCAGCGCGGAACTCGACAGTGGGCGCGGCGGTGATTTCATGACGTGGTCTACAAACCCGATCATGTTTTTCGTACAGGTGGGCAAACGATACGGAAAGTGTTACCATAGCAATAAAGTTTGCCTAATCTTGCTGCCACGCCCATGGTCTCTGTGCGAAATTATTACTAACATGGCCAATTATCTCCGCTTCCTGTTGTTACTGAGTGGCGACGTAGAAACTCATCCAAGGCCAGTAGATGGCGACTGGTCTAAAGAACTAAAGGCAATCACGGACGACATAAAGAAAATTAAAAAAAGAAAAATCTGTCACAAAGCAAAAGCTAAGTGCAATCGATAAGAAACTTGAAAAAAATTAGTGGATTGGAAAATCAAGTTTCTGATTGCGTAAAGCGAATAGCGGAATTAAAAAACAACATCAAAGGCATGGGCAAAACAATTGAAGAACTAGAAAACAGAAGTTGGCGGTCGAACTTTATTGTATACGGAGTTGAGGAACAACAAAATAAGTCATTTCAAAAGCTTTATAACTTTGTATCAAAGACAATAATTGAAGCTACTTAAGACGTAAAGACTGCAGGTATTGAACGTATCCACCGACTTGGAAAAACTTAAGGAGGGGAATAAAACACAGGCCAATAATTCTAACGTTGCCTGATTATCGCGACAAGGTCCGAATACTCCAGTCTTCTTCCAAACTTAAAGGGAGCGGTAATTTAATAAGCGAGGACTACACGTTTGGTGTGCGCGAAACTAGAAGAAAGCTGTGGAATATCACGAAAGAAAACCATGATAGAGGAAAAAGGGTAAGGCTTATTTATGACAAATTTCAGATCAATGGTCATCTTTTCACTTGGGATGAAAACCGCAAAAATATTGAAGAAGTAAAAAAAAAGGGGGAAGCGACCAGCAACAGCAGTGTCTTCTTGACGACAACACGCATAACTCTTTTAGATGTTAACGCGCAAAGCCTTTCAAAAAAGACAAACCAATTTCAAACTGTTTTATTGATTGTAAAACCTGACATTGCTACTGTGAGTGAAACGAGGTTACACTCAAATATATGTGACCATGAAATCGTGCCACCGAGTTACACAATTGTCCGGAAAGATGGGAACACTAGAGGAAGAGGGGTAGAACTTGTTTTGCCGCAGATAATTGCTTACCCGGTCATGCCGGAGGTAAATGATGTCGAAGCAATTTGGCGCAAGCTTCTCCTAAACGACGGCTTCGTGTTCGTTGGCGTTTACAAGCACCCGAATGCCAATGCAGCGAACCAAAATCCTCTCCTGGAATACATGAATTTGCGCATGCTTGGTGGCAGGATGATTATGGCGGGTGACTTCAACTCACCAGATGTAAATTGGTCCTCATTAACTCCAGCTCCTTTGCCGAACAATATAGTGATCAACTTCGTATTTGCTTTTACTATAGCTCAGCTTGTTCCTAAAATTACACGAATGCAAAGCGATCATTTTTCCGTCGATGGCGCAAGTGTTAAAAGCGTTGACGGTATATCGAATCACAGAATAGTTCTGTGTACTTCGCCTACGGCGGTTCTAATATGACAGTGTGACTCGGTAAAATATGTGCTCTCTTTTAACAAAGCAAACGATGCGCCAAAATCGACCTACCTGTCCTATGAATATCCCCATGTTTCAAAGCTATGTGCAAGTAAAAATGCAAGCATAGATGAACATGGGCACATTTAAAAGATCAAATCATGCACTGTATATCTAACTTTATCCCCAAGCAAACACATGCTACAAGGAAGCACAAACCATAGATTACCCATGACATTATTCACCTCAAGTGCAAAGTGAAGCTTGCAAGAACGACTATAAGAACGCTAGGAAGTGCTAGTTCTCAAATAGGAACGCTAACATCAACCTTAAAATGAAAAGTACGAAACGCGAAGCGGCACTTTTATGGACAAACTCTAAAAAGTTCATCAAGGGCGCACACATTAAGTTCTGGCGCTACATAGACACAAAATGGACAACAGCATCAGCGTTGCCAGCTTTTCAATTCATACTTTCACACAGTTTTTAGCACTGATAACAGCCTAAAGATTATACCGGGTTTCCGTCACGT